CTCTCTCTCTCTCTCTCTCATGTTTGTTTATTATTATTAAAAAACAAAATACAATTAATTAGAAAGAATAACAAACAACAAATATATTTGTTCCTTTAATAATGTAAAAATTACTATTTTTATAAAATAAATTTGTAGACAATATAATGAATAATGTGTTAAAAATTAGCATAATAAAAAATACATCACCTCTCAATTAAAACATGAAATACTAGATGTTATCTAAGTTCCAACGGTAGGTCTGTAAATTTTCAGCAAGATCCAATTGTTACCATTTAGATGAAAATGTTTTAAAAAATATACTGCTTGTAAACAAAACGTTGTGATTTTTTAAAAGACAACTTCTTAATAAACATTATTATTTTTTAAAAATTAAAATGCTGATCTGCTGATCTAAACTTAAAATTTGTCTATACAGTATAACTTATTATAAGTAGTAAACTGTTTCTCACTAGTAAGAGACTTTGCTGATTTCTATTGCAATTAATCTAATTAATATTTAATACAATTTGTAATGTTAGTAAAAGTTGTGTGAAAATTGTGACTGGTTAAATACAATGTATGTTGTTTAATAATAGTATGATATGACGTGTACTTAAACGATAGATTATAATATAAAGTGTTTATGAGATCAAACAATATTAAATAAAGAAATGAATTGAAATGAAATATATTGAATGCATTAAATAACTGGAATTTTACCCAAGGAACAGGCATTTTATTTTTATAATTCAAACTCTACCCTAAAATACACTTGAACCCTGTACCTCGTTTTCTAGCCAATTTACTATGATAGTATTTATCTGAACAGTAATTATTAAATAGACGGTTTTTATATACAAATCATTTAATACTTGTAATAATTATTGTAAAATTTAATATTGATAATAAAATTCAACAAATTGCACTAGGACGTATAAGTAATCAAATCAATAATTATTTAATAATTTAATAACTTAGAAGTGATTTATTTTTGAAGCAAAAAACTTTCCAATCTCGAGTAAAAGCACCTGGATCGTTTCGCATACCATAATATTTTATGTAGTATTAAGTACAAGTATTTTAGGTAGTATGCAATATAATGATATCAAGTACTATATGTACTTGATTACACAATACACTGTATAAAAGACACAAGTTTCACCATATTATACTTTTAATTAATTAATTGTTTTCGTTGATTAATAGAAAAATCCACATAAAATGAATTTAAAATCATATTTAATTATATTTACCATTTCTTTATTTAATGTCGAAGCTGTTGAGGGTATGAGTAAATTAATTTACAAGAACTGTAAAATAATAATACTTTTACGTCAAATGCCATAATAGATGTGTTGCCAGCCGTACCACTGGTGGTGAAGAGTCCATACCTGTCCACTTGGATGACTGGCCGCCAATTGGCCGGCGAGTGGACTCGGTTTTACACCGGAGCCATTACAGGTATGGCAGGTATGGTTCGGGTCGACGGACAGACTTATGAGTTTATGGGCAAACCCTCCGCCGATGTCAGCGAAATACAACGAGTCGTACAGTCGGGACTTCGTGTGACTCCTACCCAATCGGTGTTCACATTCACCGCCGGACCCATAGAACTGGTCGTAAACTTCTTCACTCCTATCGATCCGACAGATCTCAAGCGTCTGTCACTTCCGGCCTCTTATATATCAATGAGCGCCCGATCTGTCGATCAGAAGACACATGAAGTTCAGGCATATCTCGATATGTCCGGAGAATGGGTCGCCGCAGACGCTAATCAAGTGGTGGAGTGGGATGTCATGGAAGTGAAGGGCAAAACAAATCTAATTAATGGTAACTTTAGACTCAAAGATCAAAAAGAATTTGCAGAAATTAGAGGTATAAATTAAATTAATTATTATTTATTTAATAATTATAATTACTATTTATTAGATCTATCCCAATGGGGAACCATGAAGTTTTTCACCGACTCGGGCGCCACTCATGAGGTATTAATAAATTTTGAATGTTTTGTTGTAATGTTTTGCTAAGTATCTAAATTAGATATTACTTGTATTTCTGTATTACATGTTTAGGCCAATCCCTGTAAGACAATGCGCCAAAAATTTGTGAAAACCGGTAAACTCGACAATACTGTGGACAAGAATTATCGCAAAGCGTCAGACAATTGGCCGGGCATTGGGTTTGCGCGGACACTGACCGTCGGCATCACTCATACGGCGGCAAACACTGTGTATTACGGCGTCGCTCACGTCAGACGACCGGCCATTGAGTACACGGACTCACATCTGAACCAATTATGGGAAAGTTATTTCAATGGAGACGACAAACAGATGNTCATACGGCGGCAAACACTGTGTATTACGGCGTCGCTCACGTCAGACGACCGGCCATTGAGTACACGGACTCACATCTGAACCAATTATGGGAAAGTTATTTCAATGGAGACGACAAACAGATGATTGACTTCTTCTATGAGGACAGAGAGGACGCCCTCCGGAGGGCCACAGTTTTGGACAAATGTATTGTGAGCGACGCTCAGGCGGTCGGCGGCGAGAGTTATGTTAAGGTTGTGTCCGCAGCGCTCAGACAGGTATATAGACTTTTATTAATGTGTAAAAATGTGTTAAGTTTTTTATATAAAATGAAAAAAAATAATTTTTTATGAAATACTATTTTATTACTATACTATAAGGCTTATGGAGGGGTAGAAATGGTTGGCACAGTTGACAAGCCGTGGATGATGTTTAAAGAGATTGCATCGGATGGCAACTGTCAAACAGTAGACGTGATTTTCCCTCACTTTCCGGTTCAGCTATATCTCAATCCAACGCTTTTGAAATACCTTTTGGATCCATTGCTCGACAATCAGGAAAGAGGTTTCTTCCCATTGAAGTATTGCATACATGACTTGGGAACACATTATCCGCAATGTGTTGGACACAGAGATGGGGTTCAGGAAGACATGGAGGTGGAGGAGAGCGCCAATATGTTGATCATGATGTCAGCCTATGTCAGGGCAACCAATGACACAGAGTTTGCTAAAAAGCACTACAAAATTGCCAAACAGTGGACACAGTATTTGGTCGATCACGGGTTGATCACAGGTATAGTGTTTAATCGTAATAAACTAAAATAATAATTGTCATAATTTATAAAAACCTTAATAAATTTAGGTGACGCTTTGACAACCGACGACTTTTTGGGTAAATTTAAAAACTCAACAAACCTTTCGGCCAAAGCTATTATAGGCATCGGAGCGATGGCACAGTTGGCTGAAGTGACCGGTAATGAGGCGGACAGACAACAATACAGACAAATTGCAGAGAAATACGTCACCGAATGGATCCGTTTGGGTGAAGACCCGTCCAATAAACACATAAAACTAAGCTATAATACGGCCAACACTTGGTTTATGATCTATAACTTATACGCCGATATCCTATTGGACACCAAATTAGTACCCGAATCGGTTTGTTATGCCAAACCATGATCTAGTTTGTGCTATTTTACTAACAACCTTAACTTGGCCAATAGATCTACAAACAACAGGACGAGTGGTACCTACAGGTGATGGACGTCTACGGCCTGCCATTTGGTACCGATAAAGAGGGGACACTATTTGGTTGGATGATGTTTACGGCGGCCGCGTCTGGCAATACAAAACTGCGACAAACAATGTTTGATCGGACGGTCAAATGGTTGCGCGAAACGCCGTCCGGAGCGCCGTTTCCCGACTATATCAACACCTCTAACGGCAACGTTTTACTTAATTTTATCAATCGGCCAGTAATTGGCGGTCTATTCGCGCCGTTGACTCTTAAACACTAAACATGTTTTTAATTTAAATATTATTTTTCTTTATTGTAAACCAATTTATAAAACATTGTAAACACAGTATTTAGATTACAGTATCAACATTACTTAACAATGTATCTACAAAACCTGAGTCACATAAACGCATAAAGTATAGCAATACTTATAAATTCATATTTGATTATTAGCGGTCATTATAAATTTATTAAATTATAATTTGATTATATTAACACTAATTTAAGCTATATATATTGTGTAATGACATTTTAAATAAAATACATGACTAGTTTTGCAAAGTAATACTTTATCATTAAAAATCCAAAAATTTTAATACAATTATCCTTTTTCTAAAATATTAATTTTGTTGATTATTTATAATTTTAGAATTTAAAATCTAACACAAAATAGTTAAAATCTTACTAATATAATCAAATTATAACTTAATAAATTTATAATGACCGATAATAATCAAATATGAATTTATAAGTATTGCTATACTTTAACATAGAGTGGAAAACATGTTCAGCCAGTCGTCTAAGAGAATCGGCGGTTAAATCTAGTTGTGGTTTAAATTAAAAAATTTTAATACAAGACTTTAAACATACATAAATAAGCTATCAAATGGTATATAGATTAATCAAATAAATTAACCATGGTTAAAGTTATTACAATTTATATAGCGTTCGCATTTACGTGACTCAGGTTTTGTAATCAATAATAACATAATAAATACTTTTTAAATTATAAAGTTTTTAATTTAATATACAAATACTATTAAAGATATATCATTTAATGTGTAAAAAGTATTATAAACCCTGTGTTTGAGTTAGAAAAAGCCCTAGTTACAAATCAAATTTGTTTAAAAAAAACTTGATGTTAACAGAGTGCTTTGATATTAAAAATTAATACGTATTAATCTACTTTTGTTCAATCAAGTACCTTTTGGGAACTTGAAGTAGAAAAGCCAATTGTTATAACTAACATTAAAATTATGTTTTAAAGTTTGGATTTAAAATAATTAATCATTTGAATAAATGAACATATTATACACAGAGGGTCAAATGTTCATAAAATTGTTGATAATCGCAAACAATATCACAAATCTCATTAAAATGTGTATTTAATAATTAAATTTTGTTTTAAAATAACGTTTTGTTGATAGACTGAAAGCCAACCACTATAAAAATGGGTGACAAACTATTAGGTTGGCATTCACGCGATGTTTCTCGTTTAATACTGACAAACCTAGTTATGTAAAAATTGTGGCTGTTTTAAGATACTGCAATACTGTACTTGTTTGATTTTATTGTAATTTTTGAGATGTTTAATCAAAACTTAAACAATATTATCGACATTCAAATAAACATCTGGAATTTTACTCTAAATCACAAAATTACAATGATTATAATTTCCATTGTTTTCTACAGTATTGTAACATCAAGTACTGTACATTGAAATCCAGACTATGTTTTATCAGCAGGGAATTGCATTTAACTATAGCAACTATATTTAGCGGTTAATAGTATTACCCCCAGACTCTGGATGTGAACCGATCATGTAGTGGGGGTCAGTTTACCGAAAGTTTATTTTAACTATATTTAACTATTTGAGACGTTAGTAACTATTTGAACTATTTTGTAAAATTTAGTGAATTTTAGCTTAAAATAGAAATATTTGAGATAGAATTGAAACAAAAAGAAATTTTAGTAATGAAAATAAATATAAAATGTTAAAAAAGAGAAATATCATGGTATTTGGTATTGCATTTTATACTTAAAACATTGAAATTATCAAAAGTGTCGTAATTTAAAGGATGATCTGAGGAGATATGGCAGAGCACAACATGAATTCTTTATTAAATTAGTTAAATTTAAGTAAATTAACTGATTAGATACTAGATTTAGTGTAATAAACATTACAACTAACCAGTTTTAACATTTTACAATGAATTTTGTGTTTATTTTATAATTTTATAACTAACTATTTAAGTAACTATTTGAGGTGTTTTTCGTAACTATTATAGTGACTATTTGGGGTCTTATATATAACTATAATGCAATTCTCTGTTTATCAGTATATCGCTAATGATTTTATTGAATAGACAGGTTGTGTGAATAGCTGTACAACTTGTAATACAGTAGTTAATGCTATAACTTTATATCAATTATTTTAAAATATGTTATAATAACTTATTGCCAATAACTTATTGGTAATAAAAAATTATCAACAAAAGTGCAACTAAAGCAGTCGTAAAACTAATCAATTCAATAAATGGTTTGATAACATAATGAGTGATTTAATTTGGAAATACAAAATTTTTCCAATCTCAAGTGAACGCATCTGGATAGTTCACATCCTAAAACAAGAAACGACCATGATGTGTGCAAACATTATGTATAAAAAGAAACTGGTTTCATTTTCTTGGACTCATTTTAATTAATTTATTATTTTGTTAACTAATTAACTAATATAGAAATTACATTAAAATGAATGTTAAATTCTATTTAAGTGTGTTTGCTATATGTTTAGTTAAGGTTCAAGCGGCTGACAATGGTAAAATAAAAATTAATTTTAAATAAAACCTTTAAAAATAACAATAATTTTATGCCAAATTACACAACAGATGTGTTGCCAGCCGTACCACTGGTGGTGAAGAGTCCATACCTGTCCACTTGGATGACTGGCCGACAATTGGCCGGCGAATGGACGCGTTTCTGGACGGGAGGTATTAACGGTATGGGAGGTATGGTTCGGGTCGACGGACAGACCTATGAGTTTATGGGCGTCCCTTCGGCCGATGTCAGCGGCGGTACACACCGTGTCGTACAGTCGGGTCTGAAAGTAACGCCAACGCAAT